TTACTTCAGATTTTAGACTAAGAGGAGTAATTTTTTTTTTTTCGTTTTTTCACTAACTATACATCAAATTACTTTATTGTAAAAAAAGACCTTTTTTTTATTTCTTAAAGAAAGATTTTTGGGTTTCGATTTAGTTGAAAATACGCATACAGATAGAGAATACCTTGTAGATTTAAAAAAAATAAATGTTATACGTGTAAATTTACAATAAAGTAATTAGATGTATAATGCAAATATGAACATATATGTGATTAAAGACACTAGACAAAATATTGGTTTATTTTACCAATCATTAATTTACAGTATGAGTTGAGTTTTCGCCTTTCATTACTCGTGCAAAAAGCAACAAAGCTATTCGCACTTACATTTAATTATCAGAACATTCTTTTTTACTTGTTACAACCATTAAAACATGTAAATATTGGCATTAAGTTATATAGTATTTTTAATACAAATCCAGATGCACACCAGAGATCATTTATGACGTCATGGTCTTGCAGTGTTGTCTAATCGTCAGATTAGTTGAGGAATTTAGAAAGTTTTGAAATTGTGAGGTTCTGTATTTGTTATGTTACTAGGGACAATTAGTTTTAAATGTATCTAACTAATGGAAAATAATAAATTCCTTTATGCATAAAATAAACATGTGATCAAAGAAGCTGTAAACATATTGCAAGTCATGGAAAATAAAACTGTATAATTAGTATAGAAAATATCTCAAACTAATTTTATTTCACCAAGAAAGTTATTTATTAGAACTACATTTAAGTTATAAACCACAACACTCCATAAAATCAAAGAGATCATTGAAAAAATGAAAACTACAAAAGCATGTGGAGGAGTCATAATATCGGTAGATACCTACACTCAAAGAATTAAAGTTTGAAATTGCTAAAATATTTGAATACAAGAAGGACATTTTAAAAATATTTGAGCAGGTTCTTTAGTAAATCTCACTTTCAGTAAGGGTTCTCTATCTCAATTAGTCAAGACAGTCAGAAATGCTTCAAAAATAGACTGATATCGCTGCTTCTTTTCAACTCTCGAGTTATTGAAACCTGTATGAACAATCGATTCATCACTTAAACATCAATGTTCTACATCCTACCTGTTTCAAAAGACATTTGAAAAATGTTGTTCTCAGTGGATTCTTTAGCAATACAGAACTAAAATATTCTACTTTTTGCTAGAGTATCAGTGTTGGCGAATCGAAAATGTAAAATTTCCCATCACTTAATCCCAAAATTTCCCCTTTATCCACTCACTGTTTTTAAAATTACCTTTTTCCACTCGTACTAAAAAAATGTTTTCTATATAACTCAGAAAAGCGTTCTAGTATGTTTCTATTTAACAAAAATAAAAATAAATTCAACATATCAGTTGATCTAATGACTAAATACACTAGACGTTGAAGGCCAATTAAAAATTATCTGAAAAACAAAGGCAAAGAACATCTCAAAGTCTGTATCACAGCAAAGTTTTAGACCGTTTTTCTCCTGAAAACAACTAGTCCCTTGGCTAATACCGCAACAGGAATTGAATTATATCAAAGGAAAAGGTGGGAAAGCAGGGAAACCATAATTATCAACAGTCTAGCTTTGATTTTGCTTCCTAAGGAGAACGTCATAATGGAACCAGTTTCGTCCTTATTAGGACAAAAAATAAACAATATCAACTTCATTTTCTAATTAAGTCTGCTTGATGTGTTACATCTTTACTCTTATATATTAAAGCTGGTTAAGAAAGTGTAGGTAGTCAACAAGTAAAAGTAAACCATGGTAACGCCATCTACATTTAGGAAGCAAAATCAAAGCTTGCTGTGGTACCTAATTCTCTAGAACAAGGCGGAACAATAACAAGACTAGAGTGTTGAAAATTATTTTTCTTTCTGATATAATGCAATGTCTGTTGTGGTATTATCTAAAGAAATAGTTATTTTCAGAAGAAAAACGATCATTCAACTTTGCTTTAACAAGGACTTTAAGATTTTAAATATACAGGGTGGCTCACGCTCAACGGGACGGAGCTTTATGGGAAAACGACCAAAGATATAAAAAATTCGTTTGGGAGGAATACGTAGGTTACAGACGGCTACAATTTAAAATTTGTTAGATGTATACAGGATGTCCCACATAAGAGAAAATATACAACGTTATATTATTTTTAATGGAACACCCTGTTTTTTATTTTAGAATTAAAAACTACATCAAAAATAATGTAAGTTAACTGAAGGTTCCCTATTACTATTATTATTAGTTTTCGATTTATTTGAATTTTTAAGGGAAAAAAGTCTCCCAGAAATTAATTGTTTACTCTTGTTTGAATAATTTTTAATGAACTAATTTTTTTTTTCTTGTGTGGGACATCCTGTATACATCTAACAAATGTTAAATTGTAGCCGACTGTAACCTACGTATTCCTCCCAAACGAATTTTTTATATCTTTGGTCGTTTTCCCATAAAGCTCCGTCCCGTTGAGCGTGAGCCACCCTGTATATAATGAAAAATTAATAAAACATATCATGTGTTAAAACATAAAACATGACATAATATCATGTGTCAGGTCTTGATTTATCACATCACTGACCTAATGTAATAAATATTATCTATTTATTAATAAGATGAAATCCAAGATTTATTCGCCCTTAAGTCATTATGAGAGTGAATTTCCCAAACATTCCCCAATAATATTGTATCCACCAAAAATTTCCACCCAACGGGGAAATTTCCACCTAAACGGCAACACTGTACAATATTTACTATTATATTTATTTATTGGTAAGTGTACTGCTAGTTTTTTTCCAATCATTGTAAATATTATTAAATTGTATGACTCGCATAGCGAAACCTCAGAGTCTATTTTTTATATTTTAGATTAAATTAAATAAAAATACGGATATATAAGAAATATGTCAAAGTATTTATTATTTTAAAAAGTTGACAATGTTTTTTTTAAATATATTCTTTTCTCATAAGAAACAATTATTCTATTACTAATCTTCGTAATTCCAATTAAAATTCTATAATTTCTCTTAATCCAGATCGCAAGAATTTGAATCACAGTCATCGATATCGCTGTTGGGGTTAATTATAGTAAAAGTAATTTCCAATATATCAAAAACTTCCTCTATGCCAATATTTTTATTATAAGATTGGGAAGGTCCCCAATAAGTTCTATTGGGGTTTAAAAAACAATGGAAAGGAAGAAGACGTAATACTTTGTCTATATTGTTTTGCTAAATTATCTACCATATATTTCTTTGGCAGTTTGTACCTGAAAAAAAAAACGTTTTATTTATTTCTAGTTGCTATTTCGTATAACATGTGTACTATATTCTAAATTGTAATATCGAAACAACACATTATATCAAAGATTTTATGGTAGGTACACCATTATAACAAATCATGTAACTTTATTTTTAATTTTTTGATATTGTTTTAATGTTTATTTCTGGAAAAAAGGAATTTTTGGTTTTTGGTGCTTCAGGCACTTTTACAAGCACAAAGCAGTCAAGCCCTGCCCAGCTCTGGTATTTACCAATAAATCTTCAATGTGATGTGTCATTTCAATATTGCAGTTTAGAATATAGCAATTTTTGCACATGATAAGAGAAACAAAACATACCTAACAAGTTTTTTTCCTCGATTTACACTATTACTGATACCTTTATTTACTTCAAATTTGGCGACTTACCTCTTGCCATTAATTTTTATACGTCTAACAACCTTTGTCATTATTTTGCTAGGAGTTGTTTAATGTTCCATTTTGAAAGATATATGTTTCATAAATGAAAACAAATTGCTTTTTTTGTATTTCTATAATTTCTTAAAAATTGAACTTTTTACAGCCAACGTCTTGTCTTTTTTCCTTCATTCTTTTAATACAGTTCACAATGATGCACTATAGACAGTAAACATATTATGCTTCTCAGTCAACTTTTCTCTCAAAGGTTCCAAAGTTATACGTTGACCTGCAAATAAGTATGTATTTATATTACTGTATATAGGTATACAAATTGAAGCTTTTATAGGTAATACAAATAAATTTGTCTTTATACTTTTTTGTTTCATACATGTTATAAATACCATTTCGGATTCCACTCGTATCCAGTGTTATTGTATTAGTAATCCTTTGTTTATATGATTTTTTTAGAAAGCGATTTTAATCATTCATTATTCTTGACTGCTTGAGAAATACTACTCAGCAGAAATATTTAGGTTTAGGGTTGCTGCAACACGGTAAAACAGACAAGATATCAATTTCATATTTCTGTACATTTCTAATAATTTTTAACTTACGTCTCATACATCACTTAACAGAGTTGAAGGTAATAGTGCATTAACGAACCTACAGGCTCCTTATAACAACTATTTAGTTTTTTGGCATTTTGTATGTAGAAATAAAAGAAATATTCAGCTTTTTCTCACACTGTTTGTTTTAGAAATCAACTTGTAAATATACCCTAAAACCTAACCTAAATCGGTGAAAATTTTTAAAATATTATTGGCATCGTCGCAACAAGGTGTACTAATTGCACATACTTTGATTTGCCATAATGACATTTGTTCTCCATAAATACGAGTTTCATTGGCGTAGTTTGTTTGTTTGAGTAATAAACATATAATACAATTTTTATAAATTTTATATTATCAAGAATAAGACGTGTGTAAACCAATTAATTGAAGAAATTTTCAAATTATCAAAATAATCACACTAATATAATTCGTTTTTTAGTAATATGACTACGTTCATGAATACTCGTAAATATTCGTGACATTTTCGGATTATTGGCTTAGTTAGGGACATTTGAATTAGTTGGTAGTACTGTAACGAAACAACAACGTCATTGCTAACGTTCAACTGGATTTGTATTAAAAAAACTATAGTTAGAGAATCGTTTATGTTTTAATGGTCAAACTATCCAGTAGTAAAACTAGCAAAGTAGAGTAGTTCAGATGTAACAATGCAGCTTGTGTATGTGTCACGTGCTGTGGGTGCAGACGATTCGGCACGAAGTGTGCGAGCTGCGAGCTGGGAATCCCTCCGACTCAAGTGGTTCGAAGGGCTCAAGACAACGTCTACCATCTACAGTGCTTCGCGTGCATCATGTGTGCGAGGCAGCTCAACACCGGCGACGAGTTCTACCTCATGGAAGATCGGAAGTTGGTTTGTAAGCCTGACTACGAAGCAGCGAAAAACAAAGGTAAGCATATTTCAAAAATCTAAAATTAAAAGTAACTAGAGAAGAGTTGGAAAACTGGAGAAAGATATCAAATATACAATACCCCACCCAAACGAGCCACTTATGACTACATTAAAAAATCTTATTTATGTTTGAAGGTATTTCAATTAAACCGATTTTAGAGCGCTATCTTCAAAGAGCTCTAGCTCCCTTAGGAAGCATTTTTAGATTAAGGTAATTTAGGCTAAATCGTCATAAAATCAGCTCTAGATTTTGTGTTTCATTCTTTGAAGAGCGTTTTTGGACACCCTGTTTTATGGAGCAATTTAGCTTTTAAACCTCCTGCAATTCTATTAAGATGGAACTTGGAAATATAATTTTTTATTTCATATTTTTGTGATACATACCTACTAGAATTGTACTGATTTTTTTTCTTCTAATTTTAGCCGCCGAATGTTTAGACGGAGACCAACCAAATAAAAGGCCAAGAACGACAATAACAGCCAAACAATTAGAAACATTAAAAACCGCATATAACAATAGTCCAAAACCTGCCAGGCACGTTCGGGAGCAGCTTAGTCAAGATACCGGATTAGACATGAGGGTTGTTCAAGTTTGGTTTCAGAATAGGTAATTAGAGTTGAATTTTTATATTATTCCTTTGTCTTATATATACAAACGCTATTTCGAAAAAGAGAGCCATAGCTTAGAACTATTTCAAAACCAGTAAAAGAACTACCCAGATATTAAAAAGTTATGCAATCCTAATTTGAATATTCTATCAATGTGTGAAATAAAAGAATGCGTCTTTTTAGGAGGGCGAAAGAAAAAAGATTAAAGAAAGACGCCGGACGAACAAGGTGGAGCCAATATTTTAGATCTATGAAAGGAGGATCCTCGCCTCGACACGACAAGCTATTAGACAAAGACGAAATGAAAGTGGACTTAGATAGTTTTAGTCATCATGGTAAGAACATTTCTTTTCTTATTTTACGAAAGATCTTATTAAGTTTTGCCTTCTTATCCTATTTTGCATGTCATTCTTTTTAAATTAAAAATACTGCTATCCTCTTTAAGCTTCTGTATATATAAAACAATTATTCATTGCGTGAATATAGTCGATAATATTTAAATAATTTCTAATTGAGGGGTAGTAGTAGGTATAAATTCAATTGTATGTTTCTTATAAAAGAACTGGAAATTAATATCAATTACAAAAAGTCTGCCATTCATTGAAAATATAAATCTTATAATATTTTTATTTTGTAGATCTTAGTGACGATAGTTATGGTACCGTTGTAAATATGGGAATGGACCAGGATGGATCGTCGCCTCATAGTGGAATTGGACGACCTTCTTTCCTACATGGTGCCGCCTCTCCTTCATATTTACCAGGACACGCATCGCCGCACGGCCACGATCACTTCTCATCATATCCCGACCAACTTTCAGTTTATGCCAGTCTAAGTAAGTTGAAAATTAATCTAAAGTCAATAACATATTATGACTTCAAAAAGTAAATTAATAAATGTTACACTAATTGAGAACACTGAAGAGCAAATTGGGTCTCAGTGCTAAACCGTGACATCTGCCATCTACAGGAGAATATGTGGATGTGGAATTAGAAATATGACTCTGTTTGAGATGATGCACCGTTTAATTTTAAGCATTTGTATATATTTAACTTAAAACCCAAGTTTGATCGGATGTACGATATTGCCCAGTGTCACCAGGATCGGATGTGTCCCCTCAAATAGGTGCAGGAAAGTCACCCGAAAGTGCGCCGCGCCAATTCTTTTCAAACTTCAAATTGTTAAAAATTAAAAACTACGGCAGCGCCTGTAGAACAACTGGCGAAGCCAACAATCTCATGGTTTCCCGGTGGGCCATCCGCCCCAGCTTCGTTGTTTAAGCCACTTTTATCAAAAATAATGCGCTAGTTCAGTGTGATGTCATTTTGGTTCCACTGACATTTAATTCTAACCAAACTTTTAACAAAAACGTCAATAAATTTGACATATACGTTTTTACTGTTTTTATTTTATTTCAAAATATTGTTTACAGGTCATAAAAATAGTTTAAAGGTCCCAGACAGCACAAATCAATCCATTGGATGTCCATCGGAAGTCCATTCATGGATATATCGGCTGTCCAAAGGACGTCCAGCATTTTACCAAAGGACATCCAATGGACATCCACTGGACTATACAAATGTCCCACTCCTGGACGTCCATTTGGACTCCATGAAAGGTCCATATATGGACTCTTTTTGTATTGCTTTTGGACAATTTATGGACATCTGACGGACATCACCACCTATATTAATATGAAATAAAATAATTGCAACTATAGACTTATTTTTATTGTCATAAATAATATCAAGCATGTATTAGTTTTATACGCACTCCTTTCTGTTGACCTTCTCAGCCATTTTCTTAAGGCTATTTCGCTTACTTTTTAAGCAGCACCTTTGTCACTCTCAGCAGCAGCTAAAAGAAGACATTACATTTTATACGAATATTGAGTCTTAAATCAATCGTTTAATAAACGCCTGATCAGGCAAAAGTGATAGTTAAAAATGTAAAATTTTTAGATAAAACATTATTAGCTAATATGAAAATATGCATTGACTAATGTACTTTACCCCTATTCTTACATATAAACAAAAAACTGCTCATTGTTTCTTTAAATTACCATTTTACTTTCATGCCATCATATTATGTGAATTCTTTCGTGAGGGTATTAGAAATTATGGAAACGAACCATATTTTTATATGTTTGTCATGTCCTTGTCCCTGGTTTTGGTAACTGCTGAATCTAAAATTGCAATTAAAATATGTATTTGTAAACATAAAAGAGAAATAACTTATGAAACATCTTTCAATGCATTATTTCTTAAACGTTACAAAACGATTCTATTTTATTTAATAAAAGTAAAACTTACAGCTTCTTTAAAAATATTTGTATCTTCTACTTCTGCTAACGTCTCATGCAGTACAAATAGAAACTTTTCTTCTGCTTTGAAAGTTTTCTCACCTCTTAGTTACAATAATAATTGTGTTGGCATCATCTCGAATTTGCAGCATATTAGTTAGCTTTTAGTAAAGCCTTTTTCTTAAATAGGTAGGTACATCATTTGACAAAATGTCTAAAAGAAAAGGATTGTTTGAATGTAAATCGAAAACATAAAGTTTAAAACATAATTGATAGGTTTTATTAGTTTAAAACAAACGATTTCCTTTTTAATTTTTAGATTTTTAAATGATTTAATTAATAATTATACTTATTTTCTTACCAGATAAACATCCATGTGCCGTGTTTTCTTCTTAACCTCTTTCTTCTTTTCTTCTTCGAGTCTGGCCTGAGTGGCCTTTTACTTTTCTATCTTATCAACAAAGGCGAGTGGAGTGGAAAATTATTTGATTTATTTTAATTAAAACCTAGTAGTAAATAATTAAATTATACAAGAAGAATTATAATAATTTATTATAAGTTAGTCATTTTTATATTGTCCATCATGGACATATTTTGGACATCCATTGGACTTCTGAATGGGTATATCCATTGGATAACGGAAAACGGATGTCCAATGAATATCCATATGAAGTTCATGGACATCCAGGACATTATTTGGACAAAATATGGACGTCCAATGGACATCGTGTGCTATCTGGGGTATGTAATTGGTAACTAAACGATTATATATTTGATACATGCTATCTACTTACTTTAGGAATATATTTATAAAAGTGAAAAAACGATATAATTTAGGTAAACAAAACGCACTCAAAAAATCTACTGTCACTTTAATTGTCAGTGGAACCATAATTACATCATCACTGAACTAGCCACATAATCAAAGTATGTGGAACTAGCGCATATAGACAAAATGAGGAATAGGTACAATAAATTTTTATACTGGTTTCGCCATCTACGGGCGAATTCACAAACAAGGAGTACTTGATAATAGATTTCTGTGTTATGTTTCTTGTTTTAGCAACTCGCCTGTAGATGATGCCACCAGTAAAAATAGATGGAACTTTTTAATTTTATATCTGCAGTATATTTTGGATGGAAAATGGTGGCTTCAGAAGTGTAGTGATTTTTTTTTTTTCGTTTTTCTCACTATGTGGTATATTCTGTAACTAAAACTATAGTTGCTATCTGGCAACTTTATAACCACTTGCTATCCTATCACTTTCATAGCAACTGTATGTAACAACTTTGACAAAAGTAGCTATTTTAGTACTCACTATTGCTAAATTAGTCTATACTGCATCATAAAGTTATACTACCGACCAAGGGTGAGATTACAGAACGTCTGCAACTTTGCAGATCTGCCAATATGGCGGACTTATAGATGCAAGTATCAAGTTTTCGTATTCCAAAAAATATCTGCAAATTCGCAATATTTATCGTGGTTTATTAACCCCAACAACACTAAACCCAAATCCACCCTTTAAGGGTAAGATTACAGAACCTCTTCAAATCGTACTTACATCTGCAAATATCAGTTGCAGATGCAAAAGAGAAACATGGTATTACAGAAACGTGTTTATTTACCTACTTTTTTTTTAATAAAGTCTTCTGTTCCTTTTGATTGAATACGGATCGTGGTCAGATTATCGAGTTTTATACGTAGTAATGGATTTATGTTTAGTTTTGTTGGGGGTAATAAACCACAATAAATATTGCGAATTTGCAGATATTTTTTGAAAACCGAAAACTTGATACTTGCATCTGCAAGTCCGCCATATTTGCAGATCTGCAAAGTTGCAGACGTTCTGTAATCTCAGAGTCGCTATGATCTAGGTCAGTTTTTGTATTAGCCATCTGAGAACATCAGAATTATCTAAGTAAAATCTGTAACAACTATTGGTTACAAAAGTTGATTTAGAGTTATTTGGAAGCAACCAAATATTCTTTATTCTGGATAATAAATATTTTAGTAGACCAAATTATTAATGGAAGGTATATTTACTGATAGAATAATAGATATCAGAACTAAATAGATATATAATTTTCTCTAATCTGCATATGTAAGGAGGGTAGACTCTCCATGTCACTTAGGCCTCAATAGGCCCAATTTGCATCCTTCACGGAAATTTAAGACCTGCCTTTCAGCTCTCTAAAACGTTTGTTGGCTGATATGTAACGTCATTGAGAGCTGTCTATAGGAACCACCTCTTAGATCATCTAAGCCACTTGCTAGCTAGCAACTGCGTGACACAGAATAGACTACTATATCTAGAATTATTCGAATTACTTTTGCTGCGTTTAAAAAGTTTCTCGTTTTGCTTTTTTTACTCGATACTGTTCTTTTAATACATCCATTGATATGGTTTGTTCGATGTCACGTGACCAAAAAACCTACTCGCTCTGAAGCCGTATTCTGCAACTATGGTAATATGAGTGTGAGTACTCTCTCACGATTTGGCCTTGCTGCGCATGTCACTCGACTAAAATTATAAAAAATCATGTTAACGGCGAGAGCAGTGTTGCAAGACGCACGATAATTATTATTATTATTATTATTATATTATATATTTTTATAGTGAAAACAACAAAATAATTTTTTTCAGGATTACTTTAAAATCGTGTACTTACTAATTGATTTTTTGGAAAATATGTGTACCTCTAAGCATAAAAATATACAAGGCGGCTTATTTGTTGGAAGTTATTCTATTTTAATAAAAGTACAAAAACCCCGATCAAATAATTATGTTTTGAAATTATTAAAAAGACGACCTTGCATTTCTTTAGTGACTTTTGAGTAAGTTAATAATATTACAATATGTGTGTAACAATAATATTTTAAAATATACAGGGTAATCTAACTGGTTCTATTAGAACATCCTGTATAAGATATGTGTACTGTTTAATATTTTCTTGCCAAAATACCATATTGTGTAGTAATTTTTAAAAATATACTTCCCTGATGTCACAGTAAAATTAGTGAGATTTTGGAAAAACTATATACCGCATACATTTGTAAATCACCCTGTAACTAAAAATATTTTTATTTGTACGTATGTACTAATGTAGTACTAAAACATGTAGTAAACGTGTGTACAACGTGTGTACAACAGAAATTCAATCAAGCTCGTAATTTTGAAAATAAAAATTTCGAAAACTAGTAAATTTTCAACTTTAACAACCTGTATATCGAAAATTAGTCATAAAATTGAGTGGATTAATGCTGAAAATCCTGCTGTAAATATTGTACAATATTTTTTATAGTATAATTCACAAATGCAACGATACCAATATCTCGTTTTTTGAGTATAGTGCTCTTCTGCACAGTCTAATTTTGGATTACCTCCGGCTTCAGAATCTCCAAAATATTACTTTTTAATTCACTAACAATTCAGTTTGTGATACTTAGGGGTCTATTCTGTAAAAATTCCTTTATATTTAACGGCCTTTAAAAATATTTTCTTCTTTACTTCTGTCATTATTTAAACGGATCTTTAAAATAAATTAGAGTACTATCTTAAAGAAATCTGTTTAAATAGTGACAGAAGTAAATTAACGAATACAAATATACTTTTAAAGGCCCCCAATATTTTTAAAGGCCGTTAAATATAAAGGAATTTTTACAGAATAGACCCCTTAGTCCCTTACATTTATAATTTCTACAGCGGTTTTGTTACAAATAGTACCGTACTATAAATATTTGTGATATTTTAAAATGGTAATTTGTAATTTAAATGAACTTGTACCTGAAATAAATAAATATATTTTCATTTTAGGTCAAGGTGCACATACAGGTATGTCCTTAGCTCACAACATTCCAGGAGGTGCGGATACGGACATCAGCAACGACAGCAGTCCGCGGGGGTATCCCGACTTCCCTCCAAGTCCCGATTCTTGGTTAGGAGAACCGTCCAGCGCACACTACTGACCCTCCTGCATCTCCCTAACCAAAGTTTACGTAACTGTGCTACAAACTATATTAAAATTTTGCAGAGTTTTATTCGTGTAAATATAAAAATTGGATTGTAGGCACTAAGAAGAAGCAGACAAATAATGATTTTTTGTGTTGATTTCTTTATTAAAATTTAGTAATATTATATATGAAAACCATTATTGACAATTTATATAAATCCATCATCTGAGTTAGTGGAACATAAAAACACATTTTCTTAAATTAAAATATTAGTTAGTACATTTAGACCAGGGTCGATAATTTTGAAAATGGTAAAAAGTGGAAAAAAATTATAGTAGGATGAAACCCGTTAAAAAAGGACGAGAATATAACAAAAATGAAAGGGAAAATAATTTACGGGCGATCTGAGGTCGGGAAGTGGAAGGGGGTGAGTTTTTAAGGGTAAAAAACGGTGTATCTCGATTTCCGGCAAAACTACAAGTCCTATGGAAAAAAATCAAATGACAAAGTTGTAGGTAATAAAAAGACCTACAACTTTTGTGATCAAACTTTTTTCACATAACCTCAAAATTTATGTGAAAAATTCAAATAATCAAGTTTTTGGTTTTTTATTTATCTTATGCAAAAAAAATTTTTTCTCGAAATTTGGTGAAAACTTACCTTTTTATGTCCTTAAGACACTGTAATTTTTTTGATTTGAAATATTTATTTTTTCACCTTAATTTCACTTAATATCGAAAAAACACCCTAATTTTCAATCGCGTCAAAATATCAGATTTTTAAAAAAGTCGTTAAGTTTTTTGTTCGTTGAAATATCTTCTTTCTGATAATGTAAAAAAATATATACATAACAATGGTAAATGTTCTCAGAAAATGCAAAGAAAAGAAAAAACTCGAATCCGAAATATTTCAAATCAAAAAAATTACAGTGTCTTAAGGACATAAAAAGGTAAGTTTTCACCAAGTTTCGAGAAATTTTTTTTTTGCATAAGATAAAAATAAAAAACCAAAAACTTGATTATTTGAATTTTTCACATAAATTTTGAGGTTATGTGAAAAAAGTTGTAGGTCTCTTGATTACCTACAACTTTGTAATTTGATTTTTTTTCATAGGACTTGTAGTTTTGCCGGAAATCGAGATACACCGTTTTTTACCCTTAAAAACTCACCCCCTTCCACTTCCCGACCTCAGATCGCCCGTAAATTATTTTTCCTTTTATTTTTGTTATATTCTCGTCCTTTTTTAACGGGTTTCATCCTACTATTATTTTTTTTTGTTTCAAAAATTATCTACCCTGGTCTAATTACTAATTTCGAGCAAAACAATCTTTAGAAACATTATAAAGTAGTAAACCAATTTCAAAAAATAGATTTGTCTGTTTCTTTTATAGTTTATCCTGAAAAGTGTGTTAGGATGCACAACTATCGGTCAATTTCAAAATTGTATTGTTTAAAGTGTCGCGAAAAGATATTGAAATTGGCTGTGACCAAATATCTAAAATTATATGTAATAGAATATCAAAACAATAACACAACAACGTAAAAAATCGTTTGTCTTGTAAAACAAGCCTAATATTTAATTACATAAACAGTTAAACTATCCATGCAAAGGAGGAGATCAATAAAATGTCCTTGTAGTTTAATATTCAATACGTGTAAAAAAGTTCAGATTTCCGTTTTTGAGCGAAAATAATTAGTGCTCAATATATTTTTTGTTTATCCTGTCCCCAACTAGGATTGGGCTCCAACCTGCCTTTCCTCTTATATGGGCTTCGCATGGCGGCACAGCATCCTCATGGGCTTATTGTACCATCATTTGGATACCCTACTCCTCTCCTTACTCATACATTTCAGTGTTTGATTGGTGTTTTGAATCACTTTCACAGTCAGCCAGCGACCCAGCTCAATATTTATTTAAAGAAATTTAGTTTATTATTTCTTAATTGCTTAAAAATGTCAAGAGTAGAACACCAGTTATTAACTGTTTTGAACATTATCAATATTATGTATGGATATCTTATGAATTTGATAGCAAACATATTTATATATTTATAATTATTATTTACCTAACTGTGATTTTTTAGTATTTACATTTCTATTTTTAACTATTAAATATCAATTTCTAAAGATATCCACAATAAGAAGTTATTTGTTTTGATATTCTATATAAACTACCAAACGAAGTTGTTTTCTAAATTAAAGAAGTCATGTGTGTAGGTAGTACCTACTCTCTAGTCAATGATGAAAAATGTGTCTGTTTTAATATTCTAGTCGTCAAATTATTTAATTTTATTTATTGTTTCTATAATGTCTATGGATAAAATAAAAAAAAGTACATATTCGTTTTGTTTTCTTCTGTTTAAACTCCATATAAAAATTTTTGAAGGATCAGATCAAGCCTAAATTCGGCTTAAACATAGATTCAAGTGTCTAGATTTAAAAAAAAAAGACAAATCCTTTGAGAGTACTGACTTATTTCTCGGATAGCGCCAAAAATAGATAACCATGGTTTTTTTTTAAACGCACAGTATAGTCTGTTCGCTATACTTACGCGGGTTTCAGATTAACAAAATTATGCAAATTAGTCATTGACAACCAGTTCCAATAAGCCTCTTCCCAATAAATTATGTAAAATTGCCCTAATAGTCAGATTTAAATTAAAATAACATTAGGGTAGGTACTAAATTTGTTACAAATATTGCAGTTGAATTGATTCTTTGCAAGTGTTGACATTGTATGTATATTGTAAATTTAATGGAAATTTTAAAAATGCCTAGACGTGTGTTAGATGTAGATAGTCTAATTTGTAGTGTACATAAGTATTTTACGGATGAAAAAGAAAATGGCGGTCCTTTAAAATCGGTAATGCCTGTACAACAATGCGTATGCGATGCTCTAGGAATTAGTGAAACCAAATTAAGAGGAGTATTACAAAATCACAATAGTGAACTGCCGAAAGAAGATCTCCGCAAAACTCCCTCATCATTGAAAACGAAAGATATTCCAGATGGAAAGAAATTTGAAATTCGTGATACCATTTATCGAATGAGGGTCAACAAGGAACATGTGACCTTAAATACAATTTTCTCTGAATTAATATATAGAAAATTTGGCGACATTGGCAGAACAAGTCTATGGCAAGTGATACATAACTTGGGTTTCAAATTTCAAAAGGAGAATAACAGAAAGGTCCTTTGTGAAAGAAGTTCTGTCGTGCACAAGAGAATTAACTTTCTAAGAAAATATTCTAAATTTAAAGAAGAAGGGGCGAATTTTATATATTTAGACGAGACATGGATATTTTCTAGTGGTGCAACCAAGAGAATATGGCAAGATCATAACGTAAAGTCCGTCAAATATACCGATGGAGAAGGGAAGCGACACATAATTTTACATGCAGGAGGGAAATCGGGTTTTATAGAAGGTGCTGATTTAATATTTTCATCTAAATCAAAATCCAGTGACTATCACGATAATATGAACACAGAAATGTTTGTAAAATGGTTGCATGAAAAACTTCTCCCAGGTTTAAGTGAGCCCAGCGTAATTATTTTAGACAATGCACCTTACCATTCTGAAGTATTAAACAAAAGTTCAACGAATTCTTGCACTGTTGATAAAATTAAAGAATGGTTGACAAATGAACATATACCATTACCTCAATATATATTAAAATCAGAATTATTACGCTTGGCAAATATACACGCAAAACCAAAAACCTTTTTTATGGATCAGATTACTGAAAGTTGCCGTCATCAAGTTTTACGTCTGCCACTGTATCATTGCCAGTTTAATCCCATCGAATATAGGGACCGTGCGTCATGACTTTAACGCTAACTGGTGACAAAAATTTGAACTTTATGGGGGATATTTATTAATATTTTATACGGCATTTATTGTTTAATAATTATTAATTAAATAAAGTCGAATTATTTACGTAATATCATTATCGAAAAAACTTGTTGCATCCGTGGATGTACGAACACATTACTTTGGAAACCTGGACTTCATTCGATAGTAAAGAAATTTTATGAATTTCCACAGAGCAGAATTAGTGTCTCACATCCAATGATATACATAATTATATAGATTGCTTATCCATATGTAAATCAGAAAACGAAAAACGTATTTCACTGGGCAAAGTTTTTTTTATCTAGCTTGTATCAATTTTGAGCACTTAGTTGTAAAGAAATCATTTACAGAACCGGTTTAGAAATTAGAATCTTTAGTGTTTTCTTGTCATTAAGATTTTTACATATTTAAATGAACATTTTATATAAATATAATTTTACAGATAATTAATGGTTTATTCTGTTGATTAAAACTAATGTAGAACGTTACTATGAAATAAGTATGTCCAATTTGACAAAAATATCATAGCCTTCTTTACAATTTATTAACTATTTCTCATTTATTACTAAAATAAACAAATCATAAATAATACATTGCAAGTGCTGTCAGAAGAGATTGCAACAAACTTTAAAATATTAAAAATCCAGTGATTTTTGTAAATTTTTTTAGTGACATTACCATTAAAAATTATTCAGAATAATCCAATTACAACTCTTACCAAAGTTGTTTATATCTCATATCAAAGTTGTTTACATTTTCTTTTCGAAATTGTATTACATATTGCAATTATGTATTATATGTAGTGTTATTTCTGAAATGAGAGTAGTCTAAAGTTATTTATATCTATCTGTTTTAAAAATTGTTTAGATCTCTTAATATTATTTAACTACATGGAAACTCAACTGTCCAAATACATAATAACGTGTCTTGAAGTAAAACTTTAATTATTTTCTTTTTCTAAAGATTAAAATGCTGAAATTTTATATTAAAACACATTTGGGCTAGAACGGCTCTATTTAGTGAGCACTAGGAAACGTACATTGCAACCCGCTTTTCGTAATTTTTTATAGATGGGTGAGCAATCTATAATATGTATATCACTGGGCGTCTCATAAACGTCAGTGGATGAATGACATTTCGTCTAACATAAAGCTAAAAAGAATTATTATTATTCCCAATCTTTTTTATTAATTTTTTAAATGTTATTGTAATACTTTTAAATTCAGTGTTACTAAATACCGATATTTTGACATTGAATACACTTGTTTGAGGTACAACTTTACAATTTATTGTCACTTTCTCATTTAAATGTTTTTGCTTAAAATTTATATGCATGTCCAGATTTTAATAATGTTTTACATTTTATATCATTTTGACCATGTACTCGATTGTAGATAATAAGGGTATGTAAATGTAGATACATCAACACCTTCCCTCATTGAATAATTTATTATCTTCTATTATTAGGCCAATGTTCTTCATTAAATATTCGAGCCTGGGTCTTGAAAGAGGTTTTGTCAGCATATCAGCTAA